AGTTAGATTACGCTTCACCTAGACTAAAATATAGGTAAAGATATATCCTATCTAGATGTACATCAAATTACATTCAGTTTGCTCCTTCCTTTGCTCTGTGAAGAGAAAACATAGTGGTACAGACAATATTTGTCAAACATTAACGTACGTAGAGCATCATTCATTAAGAATGATTCAAATTACAAGACAACATAGGTTAGGATACCCAAACTATTAACAAAAACTATTTACAACATGTAAGGCAGACCCGGGCTAAAGCTGTGAAATTGCCAGGAAGAAGAAGAAGATAGCTTACCCAAGGATATAATCATTTAAATAACTGTAAGACTAACCTTAGTTTTAATTTATCAATTCCAATATTAATAGAATTATTAACAATATTTCTCACTTCTATGTATTTTGTGAAGTTTTGGCAGGTAATCACAAATTTACTTCGGAAGGCTTGTGTCTATTTTGGGTACAAAGATAAAAGTGTACATTAACACTATCTTGTAATCATTAAAGCTTTGTGTAACAAAGTGTTAATTAAGGTATTGATCAGCTCGTCTGTATAAAGAGTTCTTGTTTTGAAAATAAAGTTAAAAATAAAGAGTATATGAATATTTTAAAGGATGAAAACTTGTATAAATTTTAACTATTTATCATCCGTTCTAATTCTTTATCACGATTAATTCTTGTTGAATACGTCAAAGTGAAACTGAACATGTGTTTCAAGTTACCCTCATTCAAAGACACTGTAATCAAAAAGCCTTCAAGAAACAATTTAACGAAGCATAAATCTTGCAAATTGAAACATCGGTCCAAATCCTGCAAGTAACCACTTCAAACCCGGCTACCCGCAACGCATGAAATAATAACAATTTAGGGGAAGTTGTAGTCGTTTTACTTAAGACAGAAATGTCTGGTTAAATTTTTTCCCTTTACTAGAGGTGTGTATGAAGGGGCATCACGTACAACTCCCCTATGTTAGGGTAACTAGACCGAGGGGTCTGTCTCGTTAGGCTTTAATATAATAAAAAATTGTCCACGTATTTGTCTGCAAAACGATTTTTGTTTTGTATTTATTATCACCATCATTATTAACTTGCTTTACAGTTAACAAATGAAGGAATTATTATATTTTCCGTCAATATGTGTTCTTAAAGTTGTCTCTAATATTTTAGATACTTCTAGTCAATTTTTTTTTTGTGATGTAATTCTTAATTGTTTATTTCAAGCAGACATAGTTTGCGTTAAAACTTAGTATATCATTACAAAAGGGGTTGTTACCCCTCAGTGGCATAATCCTCACTGCGCATAATAACGGTAGAATTGTTCCAATGACTTTGATGTTATATTTACTTGTTTATATTATAAAATCACTGAATATATAATTACTAAGTAATAAAATAAGGTCAAGAAAATGTTACATTTATAAGTACTTACTTAGACATGTAATATTTTCTTTATACTTTTATACTTGTAAAAAGTAAGAAATAAATGACTGATAATAAATTGTATTACTAACGTTGAACCGTCTGAATTATATTGACAAGTTAAATATTATCGTTAATTCCAATTAAAATAAATCTAATTTAAAGATTATCACTTTGATATATGAATCTTGTTATTTGATATACACAATTAATACTTTTAAATCAACACCAGTTCTTTCTGTGATATAATGTTAAAATTTAAATGTTTATCTAAACTGGAGCATAAATATACTTAAAATGTGCTCAAATTAAAAAAAAAATGGAAAATAAGTGATAAAAATGTATTGGTTTATTAGGAATAAACAAAGGACAATTGGGTTTTTGAATTATTATTTTTTTTGTGATAAATGGAAAGATCATATATAAGTTTAATAACAAAACTATTTTTATTTTATTTTTTTTTGCAATATTTAAAAAGTTATTTCAAAATAAAAATTAAATTTTAAATTCAGTACCGAAGACAAGCCGACAGCTCGTGAATAAACCCGAGCGCGTGTGACGTCACAATGTTAGTTTTTGCTCATTGTAGCATACAGAGATATAATAATTAGTACAGTGTTTTGAGTTTTTATCTAGTAAATTCTGTTGGCATTGTTAAATAATCAAAAGTTTTGTACCATTATGTACAAAGACTACAAAAACAACTCCTGAAAAAATGTTTTTAAATGTTCCACAAGACGAAAAACGTCGAAAGAAATGGTTTCAAGCAGTGCATCGAGATTATTCAAAAACAAAATCATTTTCTTTTGTTGTGAAGATCATTTCGTTGTAAGTTTTCATAATAGTATTGTTATTAATTATTATTTATCTAAGTGTATAAATCGAATAAGTATAGTTCAATAATTAATTTTTTTACCTGGGCTCCAAATCATAACCTTTAGAATCGTAGCATTAAAAAATTTTAATTGATAATTCAAAGCGATTAAATAGTAAATCTATATATATGTTTGTCTAATAATTGGACTTCAATTAATAGATATTTTCATAATTTTATAACATTCTAGGTTCTGTATCAGACTACATTTAAATTTTTAAAGTACAATATGTTATTTTGGTTTTTTTATAATGTTATAATAACATTTTATTAATAATGATTTAATGAAATAATTATTAATTATATTTAATAGAGAATAAATACTAATTTTCATTTAGAATAGTATTTTTTGACAGACTTACCTTGATGTCTTAGCACCTCGAACTTCAGCAAAATTAAACCGCACTTTTTAAAAAATTAGTTATCATAAAAATATATTAACATCAGGAATATTATCCGATTTTGCTTTTATAAATCCTTTATCACACATAGTCGAAATAAACTTTTCAAATCGTTTTTCACTAATAAATTTGAGATATTTTTATCAAGTTAAAGATAATAGCCATAAACACTGTACTATTATGAAATTGCTTTAACATTATGACGTCACAAGTATGCTGACCAATCATGGCGCGTTTACAGTCACGTGATATATTTTTGAATTTTATCAATTTTTAATTGTTTATAATTAATTTAAAAAATATATTTCAAGTTTTTTGCATTAAAAATCCAATATAATTAATAATAAAGTTTTAAAATACATAAAAAAAATCAATACTTTTTTTTTTTTCAAAAACCCAATTACCTTTGCAATATTCTAAATTTATTCCATTTTATACCATATCAATTTTCCAATACTTTATCCCATTCAAACTCTTTAAGCTCTATATAGTTCGAAAGTCTTTACTTCGTTGTTTTATCATTGAGCGTCGTAATCAGTTCGCCATTGGTATGTTTATACAAGTAACCCTTTTAGGGGCAGTTTTAAAAGTTGAAGCGGACTGAATAATCAAATCCGCTAGCTTTTAAATTCGCGTAGTTAAAATGTTTTCATTCGTCACAAACGGAAATGACCCCACCGTGAATACAATAAGGTTCATTCTTCATTCAAGTCTCTGTTTATTTAAGAACAATAGGCCACTCGAGCGTTAAACAGAATGTTAATATGAAAGCAGTATGTCGGAACTGTAATGGATTGTACAATCGTGCTTGTCTTAAAATTAGCAAATGTTTAACATGTTTTATCCCATTCATACGGTTCAAGAGTTATTATAAGAATTATGTATTCGTATACCCGATGCCGGAGATAAATTTTGAAATTATATGATTATTTCATTTGTCTAGATAGTATGTCGCTTTAGTGTCTATAAGATTTTTCCACTTATTTGCCGTTGATTCTGATTTCATGTTTAAAATAGATTCAATCTAATCCTAGTTATTGACAATTAAAAAGTTTTTTAATTAATTGAATAATTCTGAAAACAGTCTTCCATTTCTGAATTTTCTGAAAATACTTAAATATAACTTCTCTGAAATATAGTGATAATATATCTATTTTATCGAATTATGTAGTTCATTTCGTAAAATAGTAGCCATGCATTTTAAATAACATTAATTTCATAAACTCCAACTAATTTAAATTCTATAACACAATTTTGGACTTCATAAGTCATAAAGTGGATTTTTATTTTTCCTTGTACTCTCTGATTTAATTTATATATATTAATATGAAAAATGTGACAATTTAGACGAAAAATTACCGTGTAAGTTAAATTAACGCACAATTCCTCAAGCACGCATCTGCGTCTGGCAAATTGGATGAATCTGCGGAAGTTTTAACATTCCTCGTAAATGACAGGAAATGGATGCGTGTTTCAGAACAAATTGACTATAATATTGTTATTACATATTTTGTCAAATTTATATTGTTCATGTAATACATGTGTGGGGTTCTAATAATTTGTATAGTAGTATACGATGTGTATATATATATACTATAAATACTTGTATTATGTCGTATTGAAGTTTTTTTGCCCATGGGTGCTATAGTAATTAGAATAGGTAACGTTGAAAATGTATTTTCGGCATACCACATTAAATTGGTTAGTAGAACAACTACGAGATGGTTGTTTGCGATTATATTGGGAACTGTATAACTGTGGTTGTATAATAATCATAATATGTGAGTGTTACGACGAAGAAATTCGAAGAAATAAAAGAAGTAAAAACAAAGTAGTTTCTTTGGAGACTGATAATGATCAGTGATATGAATACTAAAAATATAATGTAGTGATATAATAATACCTTCAAAAAGATATGAAAATAAATACCGGTCTTAGAAATCATATAAACAATGTATATCCTTTCCTTTCTATCTACACCGTTCTATGCATATACTCGTATGTAACACACATTTTATTCAAACCTTATGAAATACCAAATCAGCATTAAAGTCAGTAGGCATCTTATTAGACTGTTTTATATTGATTATTATTTTTCAGAGCAAGGAGTTAGTGAATACAACTTGTCTTCTATTAACTTATCGTGACATTCTTAAAAAGTAACTTCTATATAGGTATATACTACAAATATTTTTTAAAGAATAATAATTTAATTCGAAAATTCTACTCATCACTCCATAAATTTGTTTTCAGATTTAGAATTAATATCAGTTCAGATATCTTTATTAAGAAACTTATTTATGCTTTTTTCTACGCTTCCACAGAGTCATCTTTTTCAGTTCCAAAGTATTTTTCGTACAAGTCGTGGAACTGGGCATACATGGCCTTTGCATCGACTTTAGAATTAATATCGTGGCTACTGTACTTGTGGCCACAGTAACACACATGATCCTTCCCACAAAATGCTGGTTTTCCTTCCGTCATGCACTTTTTTATGCATTCTCTTGCTATATCGAGGTTAGGACAAAAATGCGCTATGTGATGGCGAACCGTTGGTCGCAGCGCATAAATCGGTACATTATCGATCCGAGTTTCATCACCCTCTATAAGAAATATAAAACAGTTTTATAATTTAATAATTTATTGAAGTTTTATTTAAATTATCTCTTTTACCATCCTCTCCGCTGTCTATAAAATCAATTATGCCATCCTCTTTCTCATTTTCTGCGATATTCAAACTAGCATATTCTGAAAGGAAAAAAATTAAGAATAAATTTGTATGCGTTTAACAATATTCATGAGATTTGATTATACATTATTCTATGACATTACATGTATATTTTAAATAGTAGCTTAAATATTTACCTCTAGCAACTGCATCTGACACGCAGAAACATTTATCTTTGAGGCATATAGCATTCTTCTCACTACATTTCAAATGACAATGTAATTTTTGTAATATACTTTGACATACCAATGTTTGCTCTCGTAGTACTGGTGATAAGTAATCTAAGTCAACTAAAAACACAAATAATTATATCTCCATAAATGTATACATACATATGTATTTGCTATTTAATTATATTGAAAGTTTGACAAATATATAAAATTACAAACCTCCAAAAACAGCGTGAATTAGTATTAATACAAACCAAACATTTTTAGTGGCCATTTTTTAAAGAAATGTGCCACTAAAACACACACACTCCAGAGAGTAAATGAAGACTAAATCGATTTTTCGCTCGAAACTATTGTGAACTAAAGTCAATTAGTTTGAATAGTAAAATCTTAATTGCGTTCGTATTTTCCAATATCTACTTCAATGAAACTTTTGGATTTCATAATGCGTTAAATGTTCGTTAAATTAATAATTACTTTTATTTTTATCTTAGATTCTTTTGGAGTTATTAAATATTGATTCATGAATAAGGTTTTTTTAAGCCGAATAAAAATTTAATATAATAATAATGAAATCCGACGGAAAATACGGATAAATTATATTGATTAAGGCCTTTCAATTATAAATATTTTAAACAACATAACAGTAAGAAAAAATTCTTAAATCACCTCATTTTTTTTTCAAATCACCTTAAACCAAAAAGAAAATGTTTATTATCTACATCACATTATTACTATCACCGTAGTTAAAACATTGTATATACAATCGGATTTATTACACATTCCTTGTTTTTAAAGACAGAGAGAGACGCCAGCCTCGCTGATCTAACAAATGGCACTTCTTCTAGAGCGTTCTATGATATTTTAAAAGGAAACTTCAATTGTTCTTAATGCTCCTGTATTTCTCGAAGGTTCTTCATAATCACATACTTCAATGATACGCACTCACTGAACTCTGAATTCTGTCGTCGTGCGTCCAGACGTCATATTTATACCAAGATTTAAACATAGTTCTATCCTCCTTTTAAACAATCTTTGATTTTGTTATACTTTTAACAGTAATCATGGATACTAATGAGTTTTATTGATGAGACAGCCTCAAATTATTTTCATGTCGCATCCGTTATTAAAGGTGATAGCGCCGATATATACAATTTCCTTACAAATTGTATATAAAATTGAAGTGTCTGTATTATTATTTTTTTAAATGCAAATGGATTTGCAAACGGTACAGGTATATGAACATTTTGTCTAAATATGTTTGATCAAAGTATAATGGCAAAAATTGTGAATATAAATGTAACTTTTCTTTAGAAGTTTTGTCCGTCTATCTGTTACTCTGTGTCGTATAATCTATTTAAAGGATTAGACCGATTTTGACGGGATTTAAGAGAAGTTAGAGATGTCCAATGAACAAAAATCTCTTAACCTTATGTATTCTTTGCTTCAAAATTGCAAAATTAGAATGATCTTTTCTTAGTCATAAAAAATTGGATTATGTTATATCTGCTAACAATTACTTTTATTATATAACATCACTTAGAAAGTACAGTTAAAGATAATGATTTCACTATCCATAACATTGGAAATTTTAAGATTGTTAAGAACTAACTTTAATTTTTGCTTAAGAAAACAAATCAATGCTCAGAACTCGGTTCTGTTTCAAACCGTTGTAATACATCTAAAATACCAATTCTTTATAATTTTTTAGACAGATACAAATAACTGGACTCTTGTGTTCTATTTTATTTCACGTAGTTAATTGAAATCTTCTCAATTTATATATAATTTACATAATTAAATTACTTTTCTACAACTACTAAAGTAGCTTATTCGACTAAGGTATTAAATTACAAACATATTTAAATATTAATAAAACATAGAAATCTCATAGCATCTCATCAAAAAAATTAAACAATAAATGGTACCGTTTTCCTTCAATGTACATATACACTACATATATACATACATTGTACATACATAGCTTACTCTTCATATACACTGTAGTACCGCAATGCTGTTTCTTTAATGGCATTCACTGCATATTCCTAGTATTATTATAGTTAGAAGTATTTAATAATCTCATTATTAAGAAATGTTTAAATCTGTACATTCCTCTGCATTCCCGGACAAACTCCTTTCTTTACCAGTATACTTTCCAATATGGAAACTCAATTGGAGATAGAATTTATAATATTATAATTTAAATGAACAAAAAGATGATATTAAAATTATTATTGATAATAGACTGAGCATATCCAAGAAGTGATTTTCCTGTTCTGGGAAGTAATAGAATAATTAATTAACTGCGTATAAAGAATACAAAATAATAAAAAGGGATTTATTAATGGTAAATTAATTGGGGAAGTTGGATAGTTTTTGCGCAGAAGCAATAAAATCCAAACATTTTGTTTTCGGTGTACAATAAAGTATATTTATCTTACCTTTATCTTGTTTTAAACAATTGTAAATTTTCAAGATATAGACGACACATTATAAAAAACACTATATTTTATACCTATTATTAGCATAGAGCTTTAAATTAAGCTTAATTAGAGCGAGCTCTTTTAATTTTGTAACACCGAACAGCTAATTTGGGAATTAATTACACACCACTATATAATATAAATTAGATATATAACAATTTCATATTTACATTTAATGAGATAAATTTAAGCAAAAAGAAATATTAAATAAGATTTAAATGAATAAAGTTATATAATTAATTTAATGATACATTTAAGCTTTTGTAGTCTGGTGGAACTCCAATATAATTCTTTTAACTTTAATTCCCAAGAGTTTAAAATACCGCTTAGTTTGGTCCACTTACATAACAGTTTTAACGACGCCCCGACGTCAAATTCAGTTCCGAAAAAATATCCTGTTTTTTCTTAAACGTACGTAAGCAAGAGTACATATACATTTTATAATTTTGGAAATAATTATTTGCAAGTGAAAAGAACACAAATTAAGCCATTCCTAGTAAATTCCTTGACGTAACTTCAGCATTCTTTTGGATTCCTTAAGTTTTAAGTTTCTGAATTTTTATTCAATTTATCTTTTTATTTAATCTGAACAAAGATCTTGTTAATGAACTTCCTGAACTCCGGAAGTTTCCAAGTTGCTCAACGAACTGAACTCAAATGTTAAAAAATGTTCTACTTTTTTTTACAAATAGCTACAGTAAAGTTATCTGGATTAAAGGCATAAATTTCAGTCAGTTGGAATTTCGGATCACAACAGCGAAATAAAACGATTGTACTGATTCATAAATAAAGAATAATTCAAAGACAATATATTTAATAGAGTAAATTCCATTTTGTTTATCTAAATATTGAACGATATAATTTCCATGTTGTACAAAGATTACGAATTTTTCTGACAAAAGCAACATATTGCATTCTTAAAATAATGTACTCCCTATATAAAATACTACCCCAGAATATGAAACGAGATGAGGTTTATTTTAAGTATGAACTTCCTTTTGTTTTACGATGAAAGAATTCTAAAAAAGAACATGGTCTTGTATCCATTGGGCGATAAAGTTTAATCACAAGCATTAACCTGACCTGAACTAGATTATATATCACTTTGACTAAACAAAGCAATTTTTCTTTAGCTTTATAAAAACACAGTTTCACTGCAAAAAGGAATTTTCAACATTTTTTCTATAAAGCAGTTGTTACCTTATTTGATACTGTTATAATATCAGTTGTTGATACTGTTATAATATTTATAAAAACTTCTTTGATTTTTGTGCTGCAAAAAATATTGAATTTAAGAAACTACATAATGTTATCAAAAATAATTATTGCTTTATCTATTAACAATAAGAGAGTCTGGGACAGATGCTAATATTTTTTATATCTTACATCTGTCATGGCTTACATTTTCAGTCTTATATGCAAGTCGTCATATAGCAGGTGATCCTTACGTTTATTTTAAAAAACATATAAAAATGTCAAACTTTCATCAGTTATTTCAATAACTTACGCTAGTTTTAATATAATCAACATTTTATGTCTGAGTACTTCTTAACAATCTATTTTTGGAGGATAAAATATTATTAACTTTCAACTAAAGCTTTATTAATCAAGAGTTTTTGACATCGCTTGTAAATATTCACTTTAATACTTCAATAGAACTAAATGAACTAAATAAAAAAAAGTATAATTTTTGTTCTTGTATGAGACTATATTTTCATTATCAATATAGAGGTATTTAAGGGAAGTACTCAAACAATATCTTATTAATTTATTATACGGAAAACAAATATTCGAACCTGAGATTTAAGATGTCCCTAAGTAAACTGAACGAGTTTGGTAAAGCAATTAGGACGAGGAATTTTCAAGTCACCACTCACCTCACTAAGAACAGAGTTTTAATATAAAACAGTTTCAGAAATTCAAAGTATTTTAATTAATATTTATTTACAAGCATTAAGGTTGCTATGATTTTACCTCATATAACTGGAAGAAATGAAATCATATGATTCAAATATATAATTATGTAACTGTTTCTAAATATGAAAATTATTGGAGAATAAAACTTGTATTTTTGAAAAAATCTTATAAATTCAATATATTTAAACATCTAAAAATTATTCCGTTAACAAATATTTTATGCGTCTATTTTAAATCTTGAATTTCATCATATTTTTATTACAACTATTTTAAATACAGTATTTGAAAAAGAGGAAAAATGCACAGTTAAGATTGTGAAGTCTGTTTGATATTTTGTATATATGGATATTTATATTATATTTTCTGTAGATAGTAGTAGTAGTGGTAATACATCTATCCTTTTTGAGATATTTTCTGGTCTTTAAGAGATAAACTGTGTGAAGTACACATCCAAAAAAGATTGGAATAATCAAAAAAGATTTTTATATTACAGTCTATCTAATGTTTACAACTACTTTTTCCGTTTAAGCAGTAATTTTTACATAAATGTAGTCTGTTAAATATACATCATTTGTTACATAAGGTAACAACAAGTAACTTTATAATTATTTGTTACAATAAATGTCATGATATTACTGACTTTTCGGCAATGTTATTTGTTCTATAAATCTTTATATGATTTGAATTTTAAAAAATAAATATTAATTCATCATGTATATTACGTGACCCTAAGTCATTCCGGAAGTTTTCACAAAAAGAAAATTCAGACGCTAACCAATTTGTAACGAATGTAAGTCTAACACATCTTCTATAAAACTATTATAAATAATAATGTTATAATAGTTTAATTATTCAAATAAAACGAGTAAAT